TGGTTTATCTTGTATATGTGATGTTGTGTCTTCTTGTTTTTCAGCCAGAGAAATGACCAGAGGGAAGTTTCTGAACATCTTGGAGAGGCCCAAGAAGTGATTTTTTTTTTTTTGCAAACAGGAAATGTGGGACTGCCAGGTGAATCAGATCTATGCGTTTACCAATATGTTCTGAACATGTTCAGACCTTCACAACAAAGTTCAAAGACTTTGCACTCAAACTCTAAATTGGAGCAAAGTGCTCACTCACACACACACAGTGAGGTCTTCAGTGCACCCGTTATCCCCCTATAGATAGATGCCTTTACATTTATGAAAACTCCAAATGATTTAATACCTCCTTACCGAATTTCTCTGAGGCTCGTAGACCTGCTTTGATTAAATGTTCCCTATTTATTGTTATTTCTATTTTAAACATGATTTACATTTTTTGAAAATTGTCAAGTTGTATAATAAAGTTTTAAAATGAAAAAGACGATTGCCTTTTATTTAAAATCCCCTTGAATGATTAAGTTTGCAGCCGAAGCAGCTAACTTTGGTGATGCAACCGTCTTTAGAGACTGTTCAACTTTTAATCAGGGCAATAACTTCATGCCTTTCATTCCACAAAGTGCAGCACCTCTCCGGCTGTGGACATGTAAGGAGCTCCGACATGAGAGTGCTTTCCCGGCTACCAGGGCATGTTTTCCATTTAATGAGCATTGGAAGCAGGGTCCCCTACACAAAACATTGCGTAAAAATAATATTGCTCATTGTCATCGCCCATAATGAGAGTTGACATAATTACTAGGACCATTTCTTTTCTAATTAGCACACTTCGGCCTTGTCGGAGCTAGCGGCCAGGCAAAAAGAGAATCAGACAGGCATGCCGAATGGGAAACAAAAAGAAGTCCATCCGCCATAATTAGGTAAGACAATGCCTCGGACTGTTCTCGGCTGGAGATGTCGCTGGGGCTCTGGTCGCTCACTCCCAACAAGTTACACTTCTCCCCAGGCTGCTAATAAGCCCCTAATCGTCTTTCCGATTCACACGGACAGAGGCCGTCATTGCCTCAGTGGCTTCACCCCCTGCCTCTCACACGGACCCTGGTTCACCCCTTTTGAAAACTATGGGTTATTTATACAGTTCTGCAGGTTTCAGACAGTTTGTGGATCCTGGAACACAGCATGGCCTGGTGGAAGGAAGATGGGGGCCAGAAAGTGCATTTAATCTCTGCTGTGTCCAAATATTGTAGTTTGAAGGGTTCTTTTTTTTTTTTTACATAAAAGCACAAATCAAATAAAAAACAAAGGTTTAGACTCCCACTATCCCAAATCACATCAATAACCTATAACTGACACACTGTTGAAAAATACGATATGGGCTTTTTGAAAAACAAAATCAAATATTTTCTGATGCTATTGAAAGATTCTGTACTGTTACACAATTAATGCATGAACAGCCTACTAAATTCATATTACATAGTGGTGCCTATACCACTTTTTAATAAGACACCCTTTATCAAATCTGTGAGTTGTAACTAATGCCTTTATTAATAATGCTTAATAATGCTTTGTACTCATCAATAAGCCATTAATAAGAAACATTTTGGGTTGACACAAATTGTGTAAAATTCATTTGAATGGTGTTTATCCTCCCCCAGCACTTGCTTTACCCTCTGGAAAAGAGTTATAGAGCATGTGGCTCTGCATCCATTTATAACAACATTTTTTTTTATTTATATATGCTACATGCTATATACAACATATGCATACATATTTATACATATATGTAATTACTTGTTAACATTTATAACAGCAAACTTGATGGCTTATTAGAAAGTGTACATTGCACTGCAAACACTTTTAGCTGCAATATTACCAAGTAGAAAGGATAAAAAACATTAAACCTGCAACCCAGCTGTGGTTTGGGTCATGAAACCATTACTTACAACTTAACCAGGGTTGTAAGTAATGGGTATTCAGGGTATTCAGATCCTTGCATAAGTAAAAATTAAAAATACCTCATTACAAGTAAAAGTTAAAAAAAAGTACAAGTAAAAGGATTATTAGCTACATGTAAAGTAAGAGTACTGCAAGAAAATGGCCTTATAGTGTGGCCTATTTTATTGTTTGATTATTACTGCTTGTGTAAATAGTATAATTATTTAGTCGAGGTACATCTGATTTTAACGGTTTTATATATTTTTATGTAGTTCAATCTATAAAAATGTATAAGATAATGTGCTTTGTAAATTCTGTGGCTGTCAAATAAATCTAGTGGAATAAAAACTACAATTACTACCTCTGAAGTGTACTCAATATGGATCCACTATCTGTTAGTAAATTCCATATCAAATGTTTGCTTTTAGTAACCACTAACTCCTGGAGGTGACCCTGCTGTCACTGGGCAGGTTGCATGTAGACACTTGTTGCTGCTGACTGATGATCATTCAGTCCGCGCAGCGTTGACGTTGTAAGCGACCTGACATCCTCAATATGTCACCCGCAGCCTCCCTGCAGCCAAACGGCCTCTTCAAGAAAAACCAGTCAGTCCCCTGCAGAGCCGGTCATTCATATGGAGAGAGCTCCTCCATCCATCCACCCATCCGCCCATCCGCCCGTCCGCAGTGCGTTGCCTCGACCTCACATGGCCCCTGTGCCCCGACAAACGTCAATCCGATGTGCCCTGAGTCCTTAAATTAGCTGTCAATTAGTGCAAATTAATCAACTCCTCGCCTAATTAAGCAATGCCGACGGGCAGCTACCAAACATGCCATTGTGGAGGAGCCATGAGAAAGCTGCGGGGCTTGCAAACTCTTTCTGTGCTGGGTAGGAGGAGGAGGAGGAGGAGGAGGAGGAGGAGGGGGAATCACATCACATCACGCCCTGCAAGTGCTTTGGGAAAGCAGAGGCTCTGGCTGTGCTTTAGTTTTTCCCCTGACTCGGCTCTACATGTGTGCTGTCATCAAGTTTCCTGCACCCTGTTTCAACACCGAGGGTGCAGCTTGATTCAGCAACTGCAGACTGAACACATGCAGCAGCAGATGAGTTTAACTCCACTTTGACCAGCCTGTTAAAATATTGCATATTGAAAGCAGCGGTATTAAAGGATAAAGGTTCATATATACAGAGGCATTGGGGTCACATGAGCAATGGGGCCTGCTGGGGGTCGGTGATATTCCTGCTGTGACCTTCCTGCAGAGAAAAAGTTGCTTATGCATTATCACAAATGCATTTCAAGCTTTATGAGTCACATCAGCAGGATGTGATATTCAGTATAATGGGCGGTTTTCACTTATAGCTCTTTATTAGTTGTTGACCTGCTGCAGACTGTTTGAAGGTTACAGGCTGGATGCGTTTATCACGCACACTTTGTCCCTAATTTTTGCATTAGGGCCTACAAAAAAAAGAAAGAAATTTGCCACAGCAGAAAGCGAAGTAGTGAAGGTAGGCGAGGAAGGATGTGGGGTTGGAGTGGAGTGGGGGATAAACAAAAATTTCCCAACAGCTGTTTGCTTTTTAATCTGCAGCCGTCAGATCCTGCAGGTCTTTGATGGGCAACCCAATCTACACGAGTGACTGAACTAAATCTTCCCTTAATCTAGAGCCTTATTAGGCGGCCCCTCTTCTGCATGTAATCAGCATGCATCCATTTTCACATGAGATGGATTAATAAAAAGCTATACAGAGAGGAGACGTGTTGCACTATCACCAAAACAAAAAAAAACAACAACAAAAACAACAAAAAAAAACAAAGAAATCCGCCGCCTGTATAGATTGCAGCAGAAGGGATGATGAAGTGAGCGGGAGCAGTAAGTTGCCTGTAATTGACGGGTCATCCTGACTCACACCCTTCCATGTTAATAAATGACTTGATCCCAACAGGCTGATGTGTCATTTACATATCCTGATAACATTGATTTCTTCATTAATAGAATTTCCACTAAAGAGGCCCTAATTAGTTTCAAGTGGCCAGCCACTAATTGCAGCAGCAATATTTTTCTCCTTAATCAGCAGCTCGTTTCACACTGTTTGATATGAAATATGAGTTTTGCCAGGAGGATGTGTCTCCTGTGTCAGGCACAGTTCATACAGTTTTAGGTTACTTTTGTCATGTTGTGTGCATTATGTATTTTGCTGTGTAATTGTCATGCGTTTCCATATTCCATTATTTTTGCATTAACGCTTTGATGATGCGTATGCGAGCAATGTGTGGAATCTGAATCTATTGGAAGCCAATGTACACTTGCATATGCACAGAATTTGTTTTTTTCTAATTTTGATTTCCAAACAAATTGATGCCAATGTAATAAACATTCAAATTACCACGAGCAATTCAACATATATTCGGGTCACTCCACGAGTTTTAATTTTGGCAGCAACATGTCAAAATTAGCTTTATGACAGTGAGAGTACTCTCTATCTTAACCCTCATTATCTGATTGACACTGAAGAGCCAAAGCAGAAAGGTCTAAAAAATAAGTATATATTTCTCCTTTTTTATGCATTTATATCAGAAAATAACAAATTAAATTTTTTTTTAAATTAGGCCAACATGCAAACACTGACGCCAACTAAAAATGCAAATGAAAAAAGTACACTAATTATATTCAAAATATCAATAAACCAGCATGATTCATCAACTTCCTGAAACCAAAATGTCCCGTTATTTTACTAAAGTTAATGTTTGAGGCCTACATGACCTGCCAGCCATAATTAGCTATTTCAGTGAGTTTAAATAAGCGAAATCTCCATAATGAAAGAGTCCTTATTATTATTATTATTATTATTATTATTATTATTATTATTATTATTATTATACATAAGATACAAATATCAGTTCCTTATTTATTAGTCTTGCACTTGTCTCCCATATTATTTTCCATCGTTCTCCCTGTGGTTTAATCTGCATCCTGCGCTGCTGTTGCGGCTGCGGCTGCGGGATTAGCGCTGTGCAGGACCGTGCGGCGCACACTGGGTCCATATCGTCCAGCTGTCGTTTTTGGGAGGGCCTTTGATTTGCGTGTGATGAGTTTCCCATAGCATCTGGAGATCAATTATCCATTCGTGTGAACCAGTGGTTGAGAGATCATAGCTGTCTCTGTGTGTGTTTCTGTGTGTGTGAGAAGAACCATTCAGCGAAAGGCATTACATACTGATTTATTCTAGGAGATTGAGGTAATTTTCTAAACCTGCAGCATTTCAAAGGTAAGTAAGAGGTGTGAAATATACGATTTAATTAGGCCTGACTTCCTGACGAAAATTCATACAAGCAATGGTATATCTGTGGTGAGTTTATGAAGGTTTGTTGAGTCTAATGGTGGAATTATATTGTAGTTAAATGTTCCTTATCTTTGTTAATGTCTATAGGACTCCAGGCACTTTTTTTGTACTGTAATTTAATGTTCATTCTCAGCATTTCGCCTGCAGGCTGTAGCCTTGAAGAAAGTCCTTTCGTTCCTCCCTTTCTCTCTGTAGCATAAATCCCTTCCGCGTTTATCCATATAGTCCTGAGGAAAATGCAGATATGTATCCGAGAGGGCGTATAATGCATCCATGATCCACAGGAATCCTGAATCCTTGCAGCTGATTGGCTGCTGGCTCCTGCCTCTTGTTGGGATGGACCTGTTGGATAAAAGGACCATTTTCTAAAGGACTCTTGTGTGTTATACAGAGGATCATGCACTGGGGACCATCCTGTAAGACGGTATAATAAGAAAAAGGCCTTTAGCATCGAAGATATCATGACGGGGAAGCAAGGCGCCGTGCTCTCGGAAAGTTTAAATCTATCGGAGAAAACCTCTCTGGGTGCGAATGGAGGGAGTATCAGCCACCAGCCGAAGAGCAGCGCGACCCATCCGCCGCCCAGGTGCACCGGCTTCGGCATCCAGGAGATACTGGGGCTGAATAAGGAGCCGTCGGCGGCCCCGAGGAGCCCGCTGTGCTCGCTGCCGGCCGGGGCGCACCTGATCGCCGCCAGGTCCTTGCTGGGCCCCGCCGGTGTGGGTGTGGGTGTCGGGATGGGATTAATCGGCCCTGGTGGAATTCCGTCGTTTTACAGCCAACCAGCGTTTTTGGAGACGGTGCTGTCGGACGCACAAGATGTTCACCTGCAGCCCCACAGCAGGTCCGCAGGGCCGCTGGACACCAGCCAGTCTGCCAGCTCAGGTGATCTGCAAACACCTAATAAATACTCCCCTCACTGCAATAGCATGTGTGTAATATCCAGCCTGGGTTACTGTGCATGCATTGCATAATTCTACGAATTAATTATTATTATTATTATTATTATTATTATTATTATTATTATTATTATTATTATGTGGTTTTAAATAAAATAATTAAAATGTAATGGAGTAATAAAAATAGCAGTGTTGTGTCAACTGTTTTTTATTTTATTTATGTTCTTACAATGCAATATATATATAGGCTATATATAGCTACAGATGTTATTAACTTGAATGCTTTCTTCTTGTTTTAATCCAGACTCGGAGGATTTATCTTCAAATGAACGAAAACTCTCAAAGTCATCAATAAGTCAGAGCAAGAAACGCAAGAAAAGACGTCACCGGTTGGTTTTGTTATTTCTGGTTAATAATGGCTGTATATATTTATTTTATTTTATTATAAATTTGCAGAAATTAATTTTATTTCCCCCCGTAAAATAAAGTAACCACTTATCATTTAGAAAGACTATTCTTTGTGTGCTTTTATTTATTGATACAGATAACCAACTAGTCCAGTTGCTGAAGAATTTACAAATTGGCCAGAGATTGATTGTATTTTCTGTCATCACTGACATGCAATGTTAGGCTTGTCCTGATTTGATTTGCTTTGACTTTTCTATTTTAACCATGCACATTAATAACAAAAGACTCAATTTATTGAAACTGGCTGTTATTTATAAAAATGTGTTAAGTGTTGTTTTACCTTTTGCGTTTTTATTTTCGTATTTATTAAAATAAGGCCATTTAGTTTGAACCACAAAAGGATAATTTCTGCAGGACACAATACATTTTGTGTAAAATGTTCAAATATTTAACACGATCACCGCTTTCCACAGGACCATATTTACCTCATACCAGCTGGAGGAGCTGGAAAAGGCCTTTAATGAAGCGCACTACCCGGATGTTTATGCCCGAGAGATGTTGGCCATGAAAACAGAGCTACCTGAAGACAGGATACAGGTGATACTCTCCTCTGGCACCCTGTGGGGTCTTATTCTAATAACGACAATTCACCGCTGATTCAAAACGTTTTTTACTTGTTGATGTTTGAACATGGACCACTGGGCTCCTAATTATTTATTATTAATTCAAACATTACATAACTTATAAATTAAACTATAGTTTAAACATCTCCTACATTAAGGTGTTTTCCTATAAAATACATTGAAAGAAATAAGACAAGCTGGACAGTAAATCCTTTTTTGGCTTTGTACAAATAACAGAATACTCAAATAGACCAGTAAATGTATTATTATAGGCTATAGGCTATATATATATATATATATATATATATATATATATATATATATATATATATATAAACAATCCAGTGTCTTATTTAGCTAATTTCATTGTATTCGATATAATTAGACTACATTTCTTTAGAACATACGCCGATCTGTGTGACTATTATAAGGCAAATATTATTGTCTGCCTTATGAATATGCACCTGTAATCTGTTCCATCAGCGCTCATGAGCTCCCGTAGGCCGCCCGCTGCCTCTCAATGTTTAAGGGGAGATGGGCTCTAAGTGATCTCCCCCCCCCTCTCCCAAGTAAATCGATCAGTGGTGCTCCCCTCCCTGTCTGAACAAAGCCCCGCTCCCCTCCAGCATCCTCGCCAGGATAGATAATCTCTCATCAGGCTGCAGTTGGATGTGAAACAATTTGTTCTCGGAGAAGGAGCCGCTAACGACCTAATCAAGCTATCAAGGCGGAAGAAGATTGCAGTGTGACCTGGACCATCCATCTGCCGGGGGTGCCTTTTAATCTCATTCTCATTACGGGCTCGCAACAGTACAGCCGCGAATAAATAATAAAAAAGAATTTAAAAAAAGGAAATAAATAAATAAGCCCGGGCCTGCTCCTATCCTAAATAAAATTAACACCCAATTTTCTCATTGAGAGTAATTAGTTAAATCAGACGAGCTCGGGAGGGCTGGCTGCCGGAGAGACGCAGGGAGTTCAAATGAAATAACTACATTGAATTTATTAGCACGGGTCAATAGCGCTGCTCCCCCGAGTCCCGGTAGTTTAATTTCCCGTGATATTTGCCCGCCTGCCCGCCATCGATTGGGCCTGAAATTAACTTATTTTTCAATCAGCCTCGGCGTGCCCCAGGGTCACTCCTCCTCGCAGCTTCCACACTGGCTCCTTTTGAGGGGCAGAGAAGCAATTTCTCATAAAAAAAAAAGAAAAAAAAAAGTATCTTGTATGAAATAAGGGTTATCATCAGAATTACCAGGAAAAAAAAAAGCATGAAAACGGTTTGATCGTTTTCAATTTAATATCTGTCCCCTCACTTGAATCTTCTCTCCGCCCCCCTCTCCTCCTATCCTCATCTCCTCACAGAGCCATCAGAGCTACCCTAAGTAGTGTTTAACAATCCTGTGTTGTGCTATACAATCAATTTGGCCTCCTCTCTCTCTCTCTCTCTCTCTCTCTCTCTCTCTCTCTCTCTCTCTCTCTCTCTGGGCTGACAGATAGCCTGTAGGGCCTTAAACAGTTGTTGGCTGAGGCCGAGTGAAGTGTCTTGATGTGTCAAACCATCTATAATGCCGGCGCAGGTAGCTGGAGATGAGCTCTGACAGGAGGCAGAGATCCTTCACACCTGTAGCCAGCAGGTTATGGGAAATCAATTGGCTGAATCCAAACAGAGCAGCTGTTATCTTACTTTGAATCACACTGGAGATTCCCAAAACAGGTCATCTTTGTAACTACTGAAGTGCTGAATTTGAGTTTCCGTGCCACTTTCTAATGGCTTTAGTGATGTTTAATAAATCATTTAGGTCGGTTTAAAGTCATCAATAACAACAGCTTGGGTTTCCAGTTTGTGTAAAAGCCCCTTTGATGGTGTTTATCCTTTCTAATAGTGCAGTTATACATGTGTAATGCATTAATAAATACTGAGAGGTTTACACTTTTTAATAAGCCATCATATCTGTAGTTATAAATGGCATTAAGTCAAAAATAAAGAGTTTTGACAGCCCCAAATTCAGTCGTATCGATAGCATATAACTGATGTATAAAGCATTAGTAAATTATTTATTCATCATTAATAAAGCCAGTGGGGTGCAGTGTTAGAAAGCGGTACCAATAGTGGCATCTTGCCGCAAGGGAATGCAAATTGTGAGCTGCTCGAGTTGGATTGTTTGCAACCCTTTAAAAGAAAACTGAATCCTAATTGACTCATTATCTCCACTCTGACGTCAAAGGACCACTAATCTCATGTAGTTCCATCTCTGCTATCCCAAATGATTGAAATCATGCTCTAGTTTGTGCCAGTTAAAAGCTGAATCTAATTTAGTTCTTCTATTGCAACAATTTCCCAAACTATTCAGAGTAATCATTACAGATCTAACAAAAAGCATCAGAAAGTGCACCAAATTTCAGCTGAAGAGCGTAAATGTTTTTTTAGCCAAACTATATTTTCCTCACTGGCAAAAACTGCAATATTCACGTCTATAGGGCACAGGGCATACTGACTTATGTGCCTTATTTGGAGGTGAGAGTGAGGGTAACTAACATGAAGGTCTCGTCCTGTCACAGGTATGGTTTCAGAACCGCAGAGCCAAATGGAGGAAGAGGGAGAAATGCTGGGGCCGTAGCACCGTGATGGCTGAGTATGGGCTGTATGGAGCCATGGTGAGGCATTCCATCCCCCTGCCAGAGTCCATCCTCAAGTCTGCCAAGGATGGCATCATGGAGTCCTGTGCCCCCTGGCTGCTCGGTGAGGCTTGATGTCTAACTGTGTCTCCAAACATTCACTGTCATTGTGTCATATGTCCCACATTATTCAGTAGTAACAATAGCTCATCAAGTTATTCATGCATAATCATAAAAACATATTGCAGTGTTTCACTGCTGTAGTGTCGGGTTGAGCGCAGGCACTGATGCCCTCTGTGCATAACTATGGTAGATGCTCTAATTTGATAAGCATAACCCTTTAAAGCAAATAAACTTCCTAAATAAAGAACATTTTGCATTAGATAAAATATTTTCATCCTCTAAGCTGGTCATGCATTGCCATCGTCCATTCAAACATTATATTCTAAACCGGAACTATTTTTGCTTGCTATTTTCAGTCCAAGATGGCTTACCAATCAACAGACGCTATTCTAAATCTGAATACCCGCAACTCTTTGCAGGGATGCACAAAAAGTCCACGGAGGCAGCAGCTCCCCCGCCGACAGGAAAGTGCGATGCGCCCCAGCAGCCGAGCTCTCAGAGGGCAGAAGAGGCTGAAGCGGAGGAGAAGAGGTCAGAAGGCAAGTCCACCATTTCTAAAGAGGAACTGAGGGAGAACAGCATTGCTGCACTCAGGGCCAAGGCACAGGAGCACAGTGCCAAAGTGCTGGGGACAGTCTCTCATGACAGACTGCTGGAGGGCAAACAGGAGAGACAGGCAGCCGAGGAGAAAGCCAGTGATCCCCGCAGTCCAGCAGAGGAGGAGAAAAGTCCATAGAGACTATCACCTACCCGAGGACTGTTATTCCCGTGAGTGAATGCAGTGGCCTGGCTGCTTTCAGCATGTGTAGGGACTTACCCAACATAACTCACTGTCCGGCAGGTTTTCAACCCTCATTGACTTCTCTAAACTGGCCTGTATCTGGACTTCTTTAAGAAGAAAAACTCATCTGGCCGTCACTGGCTCTGCACAGAAGATGCAAATGCACTTTTTCTGACTTAATTCTTAACATACAGTTGTTGTTGCTCATGCACAGTAGAGAGGATTTGACTGAGTGGGAGTAAAAGTGTTAATATTGGTGTATATAGATCCCACAATTATATATAGAGCCAGATGAGTAAAATTGTATCCACTATAACAGTTATAACACATTAATTAGGACAACCAGTGACCAATGAGCAGTCAGTGTCTGAAGGTATACATTTCATTCTTGGCATTTTCATTTCATTTTTACTGTTGCTTGTACTTAATGGTTACATTTGAAATAAGAACCATCCCACCGACAGTACTCTTTTAAGAGAAAGAAAGTAATTGTTGTCCTATATCGCGCTGTATATAATTGATATATTAATCTCTCTCACTAAGGCACAATTGGAAATATGTTTTCTTGTAGTCTTAAAACAATGTTTGTGTTTTCATTTCAAATTATGTATAACTCAAAATACAAAGCATAAAATAGAAATCACCTTTTATTAAATGTGGCTTTTTGGTGTCTATTTACTCTGATTTCCTTTCAAACAAATGGTCTAAAAAGTCATTGTCAAGGCATTACTGTAACTCTTAAATTACATGAAGTTGCCCCTTCTTGTTGGAGTAGCTACTTGTTGTCACTTGATGCTCTGCTGGCTGGGCTCATTAGGACAGAGTCCACAGCTGCATGCTTGGGTTAGTCCCTATAATCCGTCGCAGTTGAGAGCCTTCAATTTCAGATTAAACTAGGGGACCGGTACTTTCGGGACAGAAGAAAGAGTGAAAGCACCCCCGAAGTAGGATGACCTCAGCCTGATTCAAATCACTTTAATAGATGCTATTACCAGCCGACTCTCAAGCTGTTTTCATCCTCTTATCTAAATACTTAGCTGAAGTCTAACAGCTTTATTTGTTGGCAATCTTCACTTTCCTCCTGCGGCTGTCTGTAAAAACTTTGTATCAATCCAGCTTTACAACACGTCTATGTGTCTGCATTAGCTGTAATCCATATCACATTTTCACACTTCATCCTCAGTTAGCCAATGGGGCTTCCTAATGAGTTCCACTCCAATTAAACAGAGAGCAATTTCAAAGGGCAAGGGACGACTATTATCAGTATGCTGCTGCATGTCTCAGCACTGAATGGCTCTCAGATTGGAACCATAATGTCACCGGATGGGGAAAAGGTTGCTAATTACATTGTTGACAGAGATAAGTATACACACAATAATTAATGATGGCTGGGAAATGGACTGCAGTGTGTCCGATTAATAAGAAATGTTGATACAATGAACCTGGAAACAACACAGATTGGTGCACTTTTAGGAAGATGGGTGTATACTTGAGATTTGAAGGGTGGATTTGTGATGGAGAGCTCATGCTGCAACAAGTTTTTGTTTTACAATAAAACTTGAAACGACTGGGTCACTTCAGCTATGTAAAAAATGCACATAGTCTTTTTATTTTGAGGTCAGAATATAAAATCAGCTAGTCCACAGAAAGTTATTGCTCCCATGTTGCCTCAGACCTTACATCACTTTCTAAGTCACCGACTGATACATCAAAAGACAAAAGACAAAATGTTATTTTATTGGTCGCTCCACCACTTCTACTCCAGTCTGAAATATCTCAACAAGAATTGGATGGACTGCCATGAAATATTAGACACATATTCATGTTCCCCTTGGGGTGAATTATAATAACGATTCCTTACCTTCTCATGCTGCAATCATCAGGTCAAAATTTCAATTTGTCCAATGTTTGTTTATGACCAAATACCTGCAAAAACTAGTGACATTCCCAACAGCATCATCTGTACTTTCTGTTTAGTGCTAATTAGCATATGTTAGCATGCGAACAGACTAATCTAAGATGGTGAACATGGCAAATATGCAACCTGCTAAGAGCAGCTAGCATGACTCTGAAATCTTGTTCACTGTTGACGTGTCTCAGACCTGTGTCAGGCCCTAAAATACACCAAAACCATATTAAAAGTTAACATTGATAACTTATTGATTTTCTGGCAGCATTTCCATACGTATCTTTAAACTCACACAAGTTGGAACATTTTGGTTTAGTGTTAAACTTCATGAGAATTAGACACACTTTAAGCAACAAACATCACAAAAAATATAATTTTGCATTCATCTTCTTCTAAGGTGGAATCCTCATGGAGCCCAATAACCATTTGAGGCTGCGTGACTGAAATGATGTGCAATAGAGCGAGCCCTCACCTCCACAGACCCTCAACCCAATTCAGTTATTGAGGCCAAGACATATACAGAGTGAGGATTATTCCTCTAAAGTGCAAAGCTATTTAATCCTCTGAGAGTGGAAGGTTATGATAGATCAGATTTGCTGAAGATCAAGCTGTTTACATTGGATATGAGGAGGTAATTCACACAGTATCCCTTATGATGGACAGCCTGCTTGTCGAAGACCATCATAAGATCATCTCAATCCATGCAAAGTGAGATCAGAGGGAGGTTTATGGAAAGATTTCGACTAATGCAATATTAACATTCAATTTCTTTTTGATAGGGGTAAGAGCAATATGATTTCATTGCTAAGAGAGATTAAGTCCATGCAGATCGTTTTGGGAAGGGTCCTGGCTCTAGTTCATGCTGAATTGAGATGAAAGACAAAATGTAGTTAGACTGAAGAGAATTGAAATGTGGTGTTGTTCTGCCCTCTGCTGCATGAAGTTATCAGTACAACTAAAGCCTGGGTTTATCTGAGTGTAATATAGAGCTGGTATAAAACAGAACTGAAGAGAGCCTGGTGGTAATGTCTCAGTTATATTTACTGTTTACAGATTTAGAAATTATTCCATAAATATAATAAATGAATCAGTTCAAATATTAAAGTACATACAGGAGTGAATGAACTGTACCTAAATGTTTAAACTCTGAAACAACTTAAATTAAACCATAGTATGATATTGGGTTACTTAATGCTTAAAGTAATAATCATAAATTATCATCAGTTATTTTCAGACCCTTTACATCACGTTTGTCTTCTGATGTGTTTGTGAAAATGAATTTGTGATCAGCCTCTTTCTATTACTGATAGGCAGTTTGGCCAAATGGCTGCATTAAGGGAGAAAAACTAAACCTGATAAAAAAAAATCTCTCAACAATGTCTAAATAGCTCTACTGGAGCTTTTGATCAGAACACATGATCGTCCTCAGAAACTGGAGTTTGCCCAGTTGTCATGGAATTGTAGATGCTCTCTCTTTTGTGCACTTTACTACTATCACTGCTACTTTACTATATCCTCTATATCTCCTCTATTTGTCTTGAACTGAAAATTTCAAACTTGAGCATACCCGCAAATGGGGTATTATATATATAACGTATATAAACACAAAAACATACATAGTACATCCATACATGCATATATACAGTATAATGCATGCACATATATGCATAAACAAACTGTATTTGTGTGCTTAAGGCTATTCATGTATGAATATGAGAGGTTACAGTATATAGATGATGTGTGTGGATATGTACTTACTTAATTATTTGCAAACACAAACAGTCTCTAATATAAAGCATATTTATACATGCAGACATGTATACATACATATTCACTGACACACTTTTATTTTACCTTTTTTTTACATTTATTTTTACACTTTTACATTTATGCATACAAGGTTACATGCATTTTCAAGTGCTTCATTCAATATGTTAATTATGTGCTCCATTTTACCACTTGAGTACAGTAGAACATTTTATCCACATGGTGGTAGTCTTGAGCTTCATTCAAAATCAAAACCTTTTGTAAAAGGGTGTTCTTGTGAATTAAATTACATGTCCACTATCACTTCTTTTCTATAATACAGTCAATATTTGAAAATCCTGGTGCTGATACATCATGCACATCTTGAGATTGATTCATATCTGTCAGGCTTAAAAAAAAAAAAAGGGCTTATATTAGAAGCTTTTGAGCAGACATGATCTGATATCTTGATCAATATTTGTCATTTCTCTGGTGCTCTCTGTGATGAGACTGTGGCTTAATGGAGACTGGATTGACACTGTGGCTAAATGATCTGTCCTAGTTGGGGGCTGATTTCATCTACAAGGTTCTTTTTTTTTTCCCCTCCAAAGCGATCCCTTGGTTGATCAGAGCCAACCAGCTCTCTTTCACCCTTCACTGGATAAGAGTCGGCTTCCCGGCTCTTGCTGAAACAATCAGTATTCAGAGTTTGTGCAGGATATTAGCGATTTATTTGTGAAATAATAATGCTAATTTATCCCCACAAGCCTTTTGATTAGGCTGCTGATTGAAGTCTGCTGTTGATGTATGTGGCCTATTGAGTCCTACTATGTGCTTTCATTATGATAGATTAAAGTCTGACTACAGCAGGAGAGGAAACAAGGAAGTTACATAATGGAAAGTAAACCGCATTTTATTTCACCTGCTGACCTGTTAGCATGTCCTTTAGCAGTGCAGCTGTAAAAAAAACAACAACAACAGAATTAATTTGTCTTGATACTGGATGTTCTAAATGTTAAACCCTCCCCACCCAAAAAAAAAACATATGCATTTTCTCTCTTGAATCTGAAAGCTCTTTAAATATTATGCACCAGGATTACAACGTTAGACCGATTACAGTAGGATGATGGGAGTTCTGTGTCCCTGGATAACCTTTACCATCTCAGCTCAGCTTTATAGACCAAGACTCCTCTCTGTCACTCGCTGCCTTGTCTAGTAATGGACATCGGTTATCTCCTGAAGCTGGACTTGACTGCTTGTCCCAGAAAGATTTATGATGTGTGGCACAACACCAGCAGCCGCCCTCCAGCCTCCACTGCTCGGTATTTTCAGCAGGCCATCTGTGGGCAGTTTCAGATGCCAGCTCCAGTCATCTGGGCAGCTAAACTGTGTTAGTCTGCCTTTACTTTACCTTAATAATACCGTACCAGCCTTTATTTCTTACTGCTTCATATTTCATGTCAACAGCACCCCTCCCTGCGACGCGCCGGGTACTCGATTTGCAATTAAAAACCATCACATCGTTATTAAATGCCTCTGCTGGCACAAAGACGACAGTTTTGAGGAATGCTTGGAGAAAAAAGGGAGAGAAAAAAGTGTCCAGTCTATACTTATCAAAAGAAGAGAAACATGAACAGATAGACAGTGCTGCCTTGTTGCTCAAGAGTGATAAGTGAAGCCAGAAGACGAGGCTCTGAGGCCCTTATCAGTCCAGAGTGTGTCCTGGCACAGAGAGAGGCATGTTGCTGTGCGACAAAGGTGTGAGGACAGATAAGCGTGTATGTGTGAAATGCTTCAAAGATGAGCTTACCTCTGATATTAAAGTGGGGTTTGAAAGGAAGAAGGGAGAAGGAAGAGGGTGGTCGGTTTACAGAAATGGATGATGACATCTGTTTTGCTAGGAGTTGCTGTGGCGATGTCTTCATTTCCTCATGCACGCTAAGTGCTATGGAAAAATCTGTTGGGAATACAGATTTGTCCTGCTCAAAATCCTGTGAAAGTACATAAGTATTATTAGCT